ATCACTGAACACCGTCCACAAAAAAGTTTGAGACCATAACAATATGTCACCACTTGTGGTGATGACATAAAAATGATCATGGAAAATTGTATTTTTTAAATAGTAGGAACTTCTGAGGTTATTAGAAAATTGGAAGACAAGGGAGGATTCTGGCTTTAAGATATTAGGGTTATAAATTGCAATGAAACTAAAACAAAACATTCTTTTTCTCAAATATCACAGTGTATATTCAAATCACAAATACGATATCATACAATTACAATAATTTATGTCTCATAAATAAGTACTGCCTTTCCATCCATAATTGATGTTGATGAAGATTGTGTTTCCAGTTTGATTTATGAGCAACATTCATGGTTTTATTTATTATGTTCATTATAATGTACAATGTGATTGAACTCCAGCCAAATAGAGCCAGCACAATATATATATATATATTTTTTTTATAATAATAAGATTTTATTTCATATAAGGCCTCTGGCCCATTGTGTACATAATATGTTTACAATAGTTTAATATTGGTTGCTTCAATAATTAATAGTGATAACTTCTTTAGGAGGATAGCATTTTTTGTTTTCATCAATTGGATGAATTGATATGTACTGTAATTTTCTAGAAACGTGATGTCGAGACTTAATCTAATATTATGGTATCTAGGACACTTACACATTACATGGTACTCATCCTCTATTATTATGGTACAATATTTACACATTCTATTGTCTCTTACAATATTACGGTGTCTTCCCGTTTCAATTTCAAAACAGTGGTTCGAAACTCTAAATTTTGCTAGAGCTTTAATACATCTATATTCTAAATTACATAATAAATAAAATTCAGGCTCTAAAATGGTTTTAAATTGCCTGTATGTATATAATTTGGGGCTTTCCCTGAGTTTCCCTAGCCAAGCTTGGCTGTACATATCCTGAAGTCTTTGCTTAAATATAAAAATAAAATATAATTGGTTCCCTACACTTTGCTCAAACCATGCATGTCCAAAACCCAGTGAAAAAAGCAAATATTTGATTTTTGATGCCCAAGTTGTTTTTCCCGATTGATCCAGTTGATAAAGCATTGTATAACATGATTTAGGGTGTCTATGGTTAGGCATTTCTGTTAATTTTATCCAGTATTTTATGGTTTTAAGCATATAAGTGGTACAAAGTGGAAGTCTGCCACATTCGCCTAATGCTGCTGCATCATTTGATTGTGGTCCCACACCTATATAATATTTACAAAATTGAGCTTGTGTACATTCAATTACGTTACACCATTCATATCCCCACATCTCTGAACCATAGCACAAGATGGGTGTTACCATGGCATCAAACAGAGAGAACATAAGTTTAAGTGGTATTCTTCCACACTTTTGGTTAAGTTGTTTGAGTAAAATAATCGATTTCTTTGCTTGTGAAACAAGCTGACTTTTAGCTGGAGACCAGGAGAGTCTTGTGGAAAATAGTATAACTAGATATTTATAATATGATATTTGTTCTATCTCTGCTCCTTCAAAATAAAAGTTTTCATTGTGCCTGAGTGGGCCACCATTCCTGAACACCATCACATTTGTTTTGGATAAATTTACTTTCATTCCCCATTTACGTGAAAAGCTACCTAAGGTATCAAGTTGTTTTTGCACATTTGGTACAGTGTTACCTAAACAATTTAAGTCATCCACATAACACAATGCCATTATATTAGGGGATCCTTCTACAATATGGATTCCTTGGCAGTTTTGTTCCCTCAGCATGTTAAAAAATGAGTTTACATACATAATGAACCACGTTGGGCTGAGAGAATCACCTTGAAATATACCCTTTGTACATGGAAAAAAATTTGTAACTCCTTTTACATGTTTAATAGTATGGGTATCTTGCTCTATATTTACATTTATCTCGCATTTAACACAGCATTGAAGTTTACTATACATTGATTGATATAGTTTTAACACGTTACCATGGATACCTGTAGTCATCATTTTATAAAATAGGTGGCGGTGGGGTATATTATCGAACGCTTTAGAAAAATCAATAAAAATGCAATAGAACCTTCCACCTGGTGTTGTCAAATGTTTCTGGGTCATTGCTGACAAAGTGAAAATGTTATCAACTGTACTGTACCCTGGTCTCGATCCCGCTTGGGATTCATCTATAACGCTGATATTTCAACCTTTGAAACCCTTGCAAAAAGATTTTCTTGCAATAAAAATGTGAAAATAATAATTGATAATTATCACATTATTGTTATTATTTCATCCACTCATGTTATTTGTCCTGGACTTTGCATTTTTGTGCAGCTACACTCAAGACATCCTTAGTGCAATCATTCCACAACTCATTAAGCCATGGCATTAAATCCTTTTCATGCAATATGTGATATAAGACAGTTCCAAGGGGGAAAAATCCCATGAAACATATTCCAGACAAGACTTGAAAATAGCTTAGGGTACTTGTAAGCCAATCTGATTTTAAGGTAGATATGTCTCGATATTTTTCACTAATTTTCATGATTATAAATACCGATAATCAATGAAAGGGACAATATTTTCACATTTGTAATTGTATGTGTATGCATGGTCCATGGTGTATGTTACCATAATTCTTTATATCCACTTAAAATGTCAAAAATATTGCCCAATTTATAATTATCAGATAATTTATTCATCACCAAAATTAGTAAAAATTATCAACATGCAGAACTACCTTAAAGAGTTTAATCTCTCACTCAGTCACAATCATGTCCACCAAAACTGTACTTGTGTTACATAATATAGGATTATACAGCTTACCATACGTGTGCAATCTATATAGCATCCACACTGACATCTTTACAGAATCATATATAATTTTTGAATATAAACTAACTCAACCCAATAAGGCGAGTACTGAAGAATTTACTTACCTGCCATCTAAAAATCTGCTTGGAACTACCATTGGATTCCTCCAAGAGAATATTCTAGGGATTATGGAATGCATTCAGCTTACATAATTTGAGAAATTATTGGCATGCGTAAAACCTATTTAAAACAGCATTTATCGTATTCAAAAGCGTTGAGCATCAATGATTCCAAGCCCTCTGAAGTTTGAAAAATAAAAATACCTGGGTGTTAATCCATGGATTATCTTTGAAAACGAGAAATATATTTTTGGATTACATGGTGTAATCTTAAAGTAAACAAAATGTTTTAAAGTGTATTGATGTTTTTGGGATGAAAAACATAAGCGAAATTCATGAAAAAAATCCCCCGATTCATTCTACAAACAACTCCCTCTCATTTAGTCAGAGGTTGTTAACATGACAGATGTAGTCAGAGGTTGTTAACATTACAGATGTAGTCAGAAATTGTTAACGATGACAGATGTAGTCAGAGGTTGTTAACATGACAGATGTAGTCAGAGGCTGTTAACCTGAATATGTAGTCAGAGGTTGTTAACCTGATAGATGTAGTCAGATGTTTTTAACATGACAGATGTAGTCAGAGCCTGTTAACCTGAATATGTAGTCAGAGGTTGTTAACCTGATAGATGTAGTCAGATGTTTTTAACATGACAGATGTAGTCAGAGCCTGTTAACCTGGATATGTAGTCAGAGGTTGTTAACATGACAGGTGTAGTCAGATGTTGTTAACATGACAGATGTAGTCAGAGGCTGTTAACCTGAAAATGTAGTCAGAGGTTGTTAACATGACAGGTGTAGTCAGAGGTTTCTCCCCAAGGAATTAACTTAATCAGATAAAGTCTTCTGAGATACTATATACAACAATGAACATACTATTTTTCTAATTTTCATTTCATTTGAAGGGTGTTTTTAATCAAGTGGTGTATAATTCAATCAAAACCCTACATATCTGACATTAAACAGGATAAATGTAATTCCCATTCCATATGTCTCGTCCAAACATGCTTTTATTACAACAACCATTGCTCTTCTTCTCGAGGAATCAAAAGCTCCCGATTTGACTAGAATTACAACTCAAATTGGGAAATGAATGGGTTTACGGTATAAATAAGTTCAACAACAATAATTACAGGCAATATCAAGGAATTTTATGCAGGTGAAGGTGAACTTCCAGAAATAAACTTACTGCTGCTGATCAGACATAGTCAGGTTTAAGCGCCGTGGCATTACCAGCGCCATTCGAAATTGGTATGATTACTCCGTATAGGGTAGTTCAGTTCAGTCAAAGAAACACTCCTGACATTCAATTCAATTCATCCAATTGTAAGTTCGGATTTAAAGGTCAACTTTGAGCTTTCAATAAAAAAATCGGGAGAACAATTGCTGAGGTTGCATAAACTAATTTGGCAATTTGAAAACATCAAAAGAAAATCGTATTTTTCACTCAAATAAACACAAAACATATAAACAATTGTAGATGCGTGTTGACTCAGTCTTTTGATTCAAATAAATTGATATTACACACTGGCGGATTAGGGGGGGGGGGGCTGGGGGCCCGGGCCCCCCCCCCTTGGGTGGGCCCAGAAAAAAAAATTGGGCCCAAAAAAAATTTTGGGCCAAAGAAGGCCTTAAGGCCCCAAAAAGTCGGCCTTTAATGGGCCTTTTAAGGCCTTATTTTTTAAATTCAAGCCAAATTTTGAAGAAAATGGGCCTCAAAATTTCAAAATTGGGGCCCACTTTTGCGTTTTAGGGGCCCAAAATTTTTTTCTCTGACCTGAAATTTGGGCCCCCCCCCCCCCTTGTTGGTTCCCAGATCCGCCCCTGTTACAAGAGACAAAACAGATAAACACTTGTAGATGCGTGTTGACTCAGTCTTTTGATTCAAATAAATTGATATTACAAGAGACAAAACAGATAAACACTTGTAGATGCGTGTTGACTCAGTCTTTTGATTCAAATAAATTGATATTAAGACAGATAAACACAATCTTATGAATGAAATAAATTGATAATACACATAATACAAATAAATTGATATTAAGACAGATAAACACAATCTTATGAATGAAATAAATTGATAATACACAAAACAGATATACTGTAGACACTTGTACGTGTTGGATTTCTTTTATTCAAATAATTTGATATTACACAAAAGAGATAAACACTCGACGTGTTGGCTTAGTATAGGCCTACATTATTCCAACTCCTGGGGTAGGACTCTAAAAGTACATTTATCACAAATATTCATAACATAATGAAAAATGAAAACATTCAATGTTATAATTTACGGTAGCTACGGTCCATGTAGGAAAGCATGGGGAGCATATCTAATTCCCGTTGGTTGGATATGATAGACAAAACTGTTTTTCAATTATAAATCCTCTTGACTGGATTCTAAAATCAATACAATGAATACAGTGCTTTATTTAAATAAATCAGCAAAATAATGTTTATCTTACTTCCTGGCTTGAGGGGCAAAACGTTCTTCTGGAATTGCCCTTTGTAGTTGCCTGGTGGGCCATATCTGCAGGTGATCACATTCACATACCATTTACCGTTCTTCCCTTTGGCTTCACCACATCCAACAGTTCTAGTGCCCTTCCATACAAGCTAGGATACCGATCAAACATATGTAAATACGATCACGTCACCTCGGGAAAACTAGCTGCTGAATCTGTGTGTTGTTTAATGCGAATTCATACACAGTCCACAGTAAAACAAAAAAGAGCGTTTTCGACATGTTCAGATTGCTCAGTAAAAAAGACCTTGGATTTATTTATGTAACATCAAGAGAAAATATGTACGCACAAGTGTCATAAGGAAAGGACCAAAAATGACTTGGCTTCAGCAAGATAAACACCATCATGAGGAAAACAAACCCAACTATCCCAAAATCAATGTCCAACGGGAAAAGGAGTCTGACAGACCCTTTCCACCATGCAAGGATAATTCAAGGTGAACAACATGATTCTAAAATATTTAAGTCTTTAATAATTGAGATGTTACATATCTTACGTAACGTTTCAATCATAGGTTTGGATCGATAGATGGCAGCAGCAGATCGTGTTACCATGCCATCTTTATTTAACTTTATTTATTTTCGCCCTAAGCCGAAAGTTCTAATGGTATCTCATAATTACCTGGGTGAAATGACCAGTTCGTGCTGAAAATCCTCCATTGGGGTAGTTATAACTGAACTTCCTGGCCTCGTCGTACCTTGAAAATAGAATTTACAATTTACCAAACCTCATATATTGTATATTACTATATTTACCAAAACATAGTTACGTCATAATCGCCGTTTGCACATTGGTTCATTTTTTGTAATGTTCACATAATTACTGTAAACGACAATGTTGACAAAAGCAGACAATCGCGATCTGTTTGATGGTTTAAAGAAGGAAGGAGCATACGTATCCCTGTAAATAATCAAAGATTCAAGACAATAAATGTGGATGAATATCTGAAAGAACGGGAAAATCCGGCCACGGCCAAGAAAAAAAACTGGACATAAATATTCTAGAATAATTCCATGGTTGGTTGGAAATATTCCCCCACTATCCTAACCCTCATAATAGGATAATCTCTCAGTTTTCTTATATATTTTTGCATACGTGGTAGCTTATAAACCTTAGTAATTTTAAGAAAATTTTAAAAGTTCCTCGAATGGAAGATATTTATTTTTTGCCTTTTAACAATGGTTTTGCATTTTAGTTCAATCTATTGAGTGATACTAAATATAGTAAAAATTAATATTCATTAAACTTGCTATTTCATTCACATTTTGCTATGATCCAAGAATCTTTTTTATTTGATCATTCATTATTGTCATTAATATTTATATATTATTTTAACAAGATTATCATTTGTTGAAAAGAACATTTACATAATTAAGGTAACATGTTATGTGTCTGATTGTCCATGGAATGATCAGAGACAATGTATTTTGTGACTAGCGTTCAGTGTTTGTTATCAGCGTTTGGCATCTGTAACAATCGAATGTTACTCTTTTGTGATTTCAACCAGTCTTTTTTCTATTTAAAGCGCTGAACAGCATGAGAATATCAAAACGTGTTGCTTTTACTAATATTTAAAAATATTTTGAATAGTGACAATATTCACTGCACTTTATCGTCAAGTATGGTCTATTGCCTTAATATCAAGCAGCAGAAATCTAGATTTAACTAACCATTGGAATGTTGCTGGTCCGCATCGGTTGGAGACAGGCCAGTTTCTTGCCGAGTTGGATCGCTTGAACAAGTTCTCCCCGACGTTACCACGTGAACGGTCGTGTTTGAGTTGTCCCAATTGGACAAGCTTCCTAGAATAAGCTGCAGATTGCTGGGCAAGTTTGTTGTCCCATACCAGTGAGCCAGTGCTACGGTGCATTGCACGGAGGCGATTGTGGGTTCTGAGGCAGTCGTCTTTAAAAGCTGAATTCAGTGTTGAAAATTATTAACATGAATATCTAACTGAACCGGTATTTAAATCAATTTTAGAAGGTATCTATCTTTCAAATATCGAATGTTTGCACAGCTACATGTAGTACAAATATGAAAACAAGGGCCGGTCGCTCAACGATGTCCACCACGGTAGCAAAATTATAGCACATGAGTGTGTAATATTTCGACCCCCGGTATTACTCTACCGCTCTCAATTCACTTTATAGGGACCTAATTACAATCATTTTCAGTATACCTTTATACTCAATCGGCCAAAGAACTAATTCACTGAGGACCATAATTCTACATGTTCACTTACAAGTTTTAAAAAACGTGTATCTTAACCTCCCTCTTGTCAAATATATCTTACCTGCAGTCGTGAGTCCGACAAAAGCAAAGGAGACTAGCGTTAGGAACAACATCTTGGAATGATGATCTTAACCTTGAGTGGGCTCATCATACGATATCCTCTTATATATAGTCGCAAATGAGCTGTTATGTAAGAGACCTCGATCTTATCTTATATTAATATGACGTATACTGATCTTGATCTTATCAATCTGATAAGGGAAGTGGACGGGGTGTTATCAACCCCCTCACTTTTTATTATCTCTACACAGCCAATCTCCAACATCACCATGTGGTACAGGCCCGTAGCCAGGATTTGCAAAGTGGGGTTCACTTTTTGAAAAATTCCAGGGGGGTTCACTTGTGAAAATTTTTGTCCAAAAATGGCCCAAGTGCTCAGAATGGTGAAAACAGCATGATTTTGAAAGATTTTTTAGCCAGGGGGAACCCATTGAACCCCCCCCCCCTTGGCTACGGGCTTAGGTGGTACCGTTTTGGCTACAGTATCGTAAAATATGATGGCGTATGATAGAAGACCAACAGTACCGTACCATACTGTTAATGCACCATACGGTACTGTGATTCCAGAGTGTGATTGGGATGCATATTTGATGCCTAGAATATTAGTGGAATGGGTGACTTACTCCCCTTGGGCGGGTCTTACGTACGTTTTATCGAACCAAGACCCAATACAAATTATGTTATTGTTCAATTAATATAACAGTCGGTTAAAAGGATGAGTCGGAGAATATGCCTTTAAATATATATGAAATATATATTTATTACTTTCTTAGCCCCATCCTTTGCATGAATCGACCTAGTACGGTAGTCAAAGGTCATATCACATGTTATCTCTAGTGAGATAGGTAGAAGTGATGCAACTAAAGTGACAAGCTTAACGTTCAAACAGTTGGTTTCTTGAAGCTATAAACAGAAAGATGCTACGACATGTATGCGTATCAGAATGGGAATTTTGCTGAGTTAATAAATGGAATGCCCTAGTGTGATAAACAATGACATCTCATTCTTCTCAGCCCTGGGATCAAGTTTCAGGTGAAACAGAAAGATGCTATGAATATCCGAATGGGGTGTAAGTGGTATCCAATGGGGATTGTACTTATTGCTGTTTGATACACATTCTGTACATATGTTACTTATGCCTTGGTCACATATGCTCCGATTCATCGGCCGGCGCCCGGCCGATTGAGTGTTTCGTTCAATATTGTATTCAATTTTGACCAAAATACTCAATCGGCCGGGCGCCGTCGTGAAAATCGGAGCAAATGTGACCAAGGCATTAATCAGATGACCGTTTTTTTCAACATATATTTGGAAGAGACTACTACCGAGATAAAGTTGTCATCGTGAAGTAGTTAATTAGTGTGATAAAGGAATATCCAAGCACTCAAAAAAGCACTCAAAAAGAAGCTCTCCTGAACTTTTTAATTCAATTGAATAGATCCAATTTTAACATGAAAGGCACAGATGTTTCTTTGGGATTTGGAATCTAGTGATAATATACACTATACACTCCTTAATAAAAGTTGGTAATGAGAACTAAGGAAGTTCAGAATATATAGATGTATTGTAAGTCAATCTGTTTGTTGATTCTGGCTAATTCATTATATATTTTGAAGTATTTTAATCCAGAACGAAAATTCAAATATGAACAGCTAAATGTACTGAATACTCTACTGAATTACCTATAGAGAGGAACATATAGGGTGTACACCTAGCCATTTATTAACAAACAGATTAATGAGTTCATTTTTATTACAAAACTCCTTTATTAATACTTCATTTAAAATCCTACAACCGGTAATGAAATATAAAGACTTCTGAAAACAAATATGAAGAATGTTTGAAGACTTGATTATTTGTAATTCAGTGACACATGAAAATATGAAACTGCCAGTATTATCATCATTTAGACTAAAATTCATTGATAAGATGAATGTGTGAGATAAAATAAAGATAGCCATGATAGCAAGTAACTGTTGTTCATTTTTAAATTTAAAGCACCAGGGTAATCTATTTCAAGGATTTTCTGCATCATTATTCCGCTGATAAAGCTCTAAACTCAAAATTCACGAAATTCAATTGACAGTTAATTGTAAGTATGTAGAATTCCTCTGTTATTCGCGTGGCATTTGATACAAATAGATACACATTACCATTACTAAGACTTCAAACAAAAAACTCCATTACTTATTACTCAATATTGAGTGCTTAAAAAATCTTCTCAAATTCTTGACCATGTCTCAATGTTTTATGATGTTAGCCTTTCAATGCAAAACTCATAATATATTCCAACGCTAGTTGCCAGCAAACATTCACTGTTAATGCCTCACATGATGGGGTCTCTCAATGATTCTTTCATGATGTCTTATGGAATGTTCTATTGACCAAGCGTTCTAATAATCTCAATTCAAGAGGAGTTTTCACTGATAATTGTTATAAAACAGTCCCCGATGATGCTTGACGATTCCTATAACACTCCAACTCCAATGACTGTTATCAGTCCATATGATGCGAGTTCAAGTAGTTTCATCCTTGTTCAAAGTGAGTGTTTGATGATGATTGTATGTACAGATGAGTTGTTAGTGTTAATTCCTTTGTTGGTACATGTTACCTCCCCGACCACGACCTCTCATTGGACCACCCCTTCCACCTCTGCCTCTGGCAGCTAAAAATACAAAACATATTCATGACACCAGGCCAAATATACAAAACACTTTCATAAGCAAGGGGTTTCACTAGAATTTCTCACAACAGGCTAATTAAATGAAAACAACAGGCAAAATTAATGGAAATCATAAATTCAACATGGAAAAGTTGAAAAGTCCCGAATAACAACAGGTGATTTTGTGAAAACAACCGGTGAAAATCGCCTGTTGCCTGCTGCTAATGAAATCCCTGATAAATCACAGGCACAATCTATCTATCTTCTCATCCAGCCTCTAGATCTGGCAGCTGTAAATACAGAATACTTTCGTAAGCCACCAGGTCAAAAATACAAAACATATTCATAAGTCACAAGGCAAAATCTATCTACATCTGGTAGCTGGAAATACAAGTCATGAGGCCAAAAATACCATTTTAAAGAGAGAATCAGATCTAGCGATTGTTTCAATTTAAGAATATTTCTGATTCATGTGATTCCTTGTCATGTCTATTTACTAAAAATCCCCAAAGTGCACAATTTTTTCAGGAAAACTAAAGATTTTTATAATAATATATTATTTTTCTATAACAATGGTTACCATTCTTATTAAGAGAATTTACACATTTTTCACCTATTTTTGCACTTTTAATCCATAATTACTTCACCAATTTGTACATGTCGCTTTTAATTTTGTCACTCCTATAGATCTGATTCGCCTTTAAATTTTGAAGATCATTATAGGTCCTCTAGAATTCATTCTATGAATGCCTGAATCTTGCTAAGAATCTGGTGCAAGTTAACATTACTAATGTACAACATGGGTCTCAAACATGATGAAAATGACACTCTGCAATTTTCAGATATTTATTTACATGGTAGCAAATGGGCATCAGAAGGGAGGTCTAAACATCAACGGATTTGGCTGAAAAGTTTTGCGCTTGCTTTCCTCTACCAACAGACCAACTGGGAAAAACTCCATCTTGATCCTGAAAAAAAGTTGAAAAGTGAAACACCCTAAGGCACAGCCCACCACCCTTAGGAAATAAACAACCATTTTTTCCGAATTTCAACCGTTAAAATCCATTGCGCAACCATTACAAATCATTGCATAACCATTGCTGCAACCAATTGAAATGGTTTCCAACCATTACATTGCAACCATTAAAATTTGGTTGAAAACTTTGGTTGCATATCATTGAAATTATGGAATCATTTGCAACCATTACAAACCATTGATTGTTTAAGTTGCATTTTACCAAATGGTTGCAACTATTTTCAACCATATTGTGGAAATTATTTAGTTTAAGAATGAGACAATTTGAAACATGAAGAACATACAAGTAAATTGAATGCATTATTATGTTTCAAAATGCAGTAGTTCATGTTTATGGGCATATTATTTCTAATTAATTGAAGAGAATAAGGTTTATTCATTTTTGGCACTGGATATGACTTCAAGTTCATTCTCATACGCATATTATTTCTATAAAGAATAAGGTTTATTCATTTTTGGTACTGAATATTACTTCAAGTTCATGTTCATAGAGATAGTATTTCTATTTCATTGAAGAGAATCAAGTGTATTCATTTTTGGCCCTGGTCATTCTTGTAGTTTATTTGGAAATTCCTTCTTGATTCATTCAGTTTTACTGAACAATACAACAAAACATTCTGTGGAAATTTTCTGTTTTTTTCCTGTCTCAACAAAAAATGTTTCTAACTAAAAGTACATACATACATATTATAAAACATCAAAGATTGTATTTCCTGCCTCTTATTTATGATTTGGATTAAGCTAGTGCCAAAATAACTGCTTCTTCAATATCAAAGAAGTCTTATTACAACAATTAACTAGATTAAACTGAAAATGTTTACAAAACATGATTTTGAAACATCAACATCCTTGTATTTATGCTTTGGATTAGGCAAGAGCCGGATTGATTGTCTTTTCTTCAATATCATTTACAAATCAAAAATGTTAATTACTAATGGATTAAACTTTAATCATAATGACTGAAAGGGAAATATCTTAAACACTTGAATAGATGATATTTCCTTTTACTAGACATGGTTTTATGCCTATGAGCATGAACTTGAAGTTGGATATGTCTCAAAATTGTATTATGAACTTAAGTTAACTATCGCTAGAAAAAAGAGAATTCATCAAGACCATTGCTGGCTTCAAAAATCTTAATGTGAATCTCATCTAATTTACTATGATTGTGTCATTATTATGGTAGGGGAATTCAAAAATAAATTATTCAGACAAAAATAATTCTTAAAAAAAGAATTAATTTGTAATGATTTTGTTAAACTATCAAAACAGAACTTTATCTAATTGGCTGTTCAAGGGTTATAATTAGCATTTCAATGGTTATAATTAGCTTTTCAATGGTTATAATTAGCATTTCAACCGTTGCCGCTCTGTCTGTGCAACTGTTGCTGCTCTGTCTTTGTACCTTATCTGAATTCAATAATGTGAAATCTTAATTTGTATTTCTACAATTTTCTTAATGAAAATAAGCCAGCAAAATTAAACAATATTGAATTGAAACAAAAAAGAATCCTTATTTTCTTACAAGATTTCTGCATTTTTCATTCTCCTTAAAAACGATACCTGATAAGTGATTGCAATAGTCATAGAAATAAGTGTTTAAAATCCTAGGGATTAGATTAAATGATATATACAAATAAGTGTATGTTTTTTGTTGTTCTGGAAGTGACGTCAGACTTGTCATTGAGAACAAGATCCGAGACACACAAAGTCCAAAAAAAAATCTTTAATGAGAGAAGAGTGTGATAGACTGCAGACTACAGACATGCTTACTTAAAAAAACATACTAATAATATCAACATAGCCATAGCCAAAAATTATTTCAAATTCATGCAGTTTTTCACCATATTGAGGACTTTTCAAGTGATTTTGGCCAATTTTTGGCAATAGTTATAAAATATGAATCCCCTTGTAAATTTGTCAAAAGTGCAAAAGCTGGCTACAGGTCTGCCCATGAGCATTCATTTTGAGGATTAATGGTTGCAATAGTTGCAGTTCTCCATCAATGGTTGCAATCAATTGTAATTGTTAATTTCAATGGGTAATGGTTGTAATGGTTTTGCAATGGTTTCTCAAAAATGGTTGCAACTTTATGTAAAAAGGGTTGAAAAGATTGGGTGAAGTAATGGTTGCGCAATGGTTTTGAATGGTTGATATAATGATTTTTCCTTTGATCTTCAAGGTTGAAATGATGGTTACATGATATGCAATGAAACCATTGAATTTCGGAAAAAATGGTTGTTTTTTTTATAAGGGTAGTACCTCCCCCATCTCTAGCTGTGGTAGCTGAAAATGCAAAATATTTTCACAGGAGGTTACCAGGCACAATCTATCAGGACCTCTGGCACCTGAAAATACAAATCATTTGATAAGTCAATGAAGCACATTCTTTTTGGCACCCACCTCTATCTCTAGCATCTAAAAATAAGAAAAAACAGAAAACAAGATGCAGTGCTTTCAGTAGGTTTGTTCAAGTGTGTGTCCCTGAGACAGACTGATTTTCCAAAAGTGCGTCCCCCTCAAAAGTGTGTCCCCTGAAAAAATTTTCCCAGGGATTCAAGGTCACATTTTTACACTGGATGAAATAAAATTGATGAAAAGTTTTTATTTGTTTTGTTATTTATCGGCCTAAATCAGCGTTCTCAAATGTCAAGTAGGTCATTAAATGATGCAGGTGAGAGAGATAACTAATAGTCAACCATTAAATATGCATTATCTTTGCATATTCCGAAGCAATTTGCTATTTATTTTGATAGCTCAGAAAATTTCACTAGGGGCAATCTCCATGAGTGCTAGGTTCCATTTTTTAATTCGTTTTTTGCACATGCGCATTAGGCCAAACAAAAATATATGTCCGTTTCCGGAACCCCGACCGACCCTAGTTTTAACCCCCGACCCTAAAGATTTTTTAGTGGCTTGAAAAATAAAATATTGTATCTCTGCGTTCCAGAGTTGATTTTTTGGATATGACTATTCTGAGACTATATTTCCGAGTCCATAATATTTTTTTGCGTTTTTGAAATGTTGGGACAGTATTACTGAAAACTTTGAGATGGCCATCAAGTTGTAATCAGCCATAGGACTTGGTTTTCTCTATCATGTGTAAAAACTTGAAGTTCATCCAATGAGCTGTTTTCGTGGAATAGCAATGAAGATTTATTGAAAAACTTCCACAAAGGCCAGCAGAAAATAAGATGGCCATCCAAAAGTTAATCAGGTGAGAACGTTGAAAATATTTGGAATCAATGTTGAATTGAATTGAAAATTCAATCTAAAATATGTTTTAAGTAAAAGAAAAAATAAGTTCAAAACAAAAGGTCTATGGAGAACCAAGAAATCACATTTTCAAAGATATATGTTACAAGACATCAAAAATCATATGACTTTGACTACATTTTGAATGATTAAAATGAAGATTTTTTCCTACTCTGATCTATTCTACTCATGATATCTCGAAATGACACTGTGCAGGACTGGGGTGATTGGCGGATACAGGGTGTTCCAAAAATAACAAGAATGGCGCCGGCGTCTTATTATTTCTGCACCAAATACGTTCTTTTCCCATAACATACTTCCAAGTAAGTGGACTTGATAAGTTTGAAAATATTTTATAGTTGCTACGGAAACAACATCGGGGCAACCTTTCATTAAAACTGAGGTTACCTTGTATGAATGGCCAGGCTTGTTGATATTGTCCCTTTGGGGGCAGACTGTGGACACTTACCTTCACATTCTCACATTTTTTTTTGATTTTTCACATTTTGTGCATTTGCGTGGAATTAACTATCAATCAAAAACATTCAAAAGTACAGTACTGAAAGAACATAATCATGGGTATGCTGTAAGATGTTTAGATATAGCTAAACTTTGAGTACAATCAGTAAAATTGCTTTGATTTATTCATAAAAAACTGATTGCGCACAAGTAAGGCATATCCATTCTAGTGACTGGTTCATACATGGTTAAAATAACGAAATAATGAAATGTAACCATGTGTCTACTTATATCAGTTTGTTCTTTGTCATCCATCCTGCTAGGTTACATTGTGGAACTCAGCCAAACACGACACTGAAGGCAGTATTCTGAGGTTATAAAATCTAAATCTAAAAAACTTCTGATTTGCAGCTCCTTAGAGATTTACGGAATTGAACAAAGTACCGAACGTTGCGATCTTTCAACTTTAGTTCGTTGTTTTTCACCACTTTATGTGTAGTGTTTTCATTTAGGAGGCGGTCTTATTTGAATGCATCATTTCAGGTCTTTATGAACAGTGTATGCCCTAAGGATTCCAGAGCTGCTGGTCAAAAAGGCATTACTGACCAGTTGCAATGTTATTTTCCTATACCTAGTGAAAAAATCAACTGGTCAGTATCAAAAGTAACCAGATAATGACCAGCTGTCCGACGCTTAAGGCGTGCCCTGTTTATGAATCAATAGATCAATAAGCAGACTAAAAATTCAAATTTAGCAGTTTCATTCGTGTCGTACTGGGCCTGTTAGGCCAGCGCTTGCATTAGGTTAGAAAATTTGTGAGTCCTAAGGACGCAATTTTTTTTTAAAAAGTGTGTCCTTTGAAAAAAAAGTGTGTCCCTTATTTTTCAGTTTTTGATTTCTTGCTGCGAATTTAAAACGGAAGTAAACGTTAAATACGGACTGAATAAATGCATGTTCGTTCATTCGACAATGAAAACATTTTATTTCATGAATAACCTAATATTTGTTTCTGAATAGGAAAAACTGTTCATGTTGTGTGTCATGGTTTCAAATCTAAAAATAAACAGTCTAAAAAATTCGAGAGAATCATGATTATTAGTAAATATTCAACATGTTGAGCCTTATTTACGATTCAAATAAAGGTGAGAGATCATAATTATTTGTTTTTGTTAAGTATAGTTGTAAACACATTGTACAGCGCTTGCATTAGGCTCTGAAAAATGTGAGTCCCAATGAAGGAAAAAATTTTAAAAACTGAGTCCCGACAGAAAAAAGCGTGTCCTCCAATATATAAGCTAAATTAGCTAAATTAGCTATAATGGGCTATTTTGGAATGTGCATGACTTGATCTTTAATACATGTCTTATGTGTTTTCAAAATGTTGCCATTCGTGCCCTGTGATTTAAACATGTTCTTTATATTCAATTCACTTATGTTATGTAACCTCCAGTACTATTATACTGTGATTATCTTTATATTTGCTGTTTGCACTGAACAACTGCTTGAAAAAATAAGAACATTTTTTAGTATGAATTTGTCTGACGCTCAGTAATTTAGTGTAGCACTACATTTTCTACATGATCAGAATCCTCTGATTTATATCATAAATTAGACCATTTTGACGTTATATAATCACAAATAGACTACTTCACCTAGGTAAGTATGCATCATTTGTACAATTGAACTCATTTTGAAGGTTTTATATCAGCTTTTCAGTGAGAAAAATATGTCACATGCAAACTGATAACCTATTATCGCCCATTACAATAGTTCGTTTTTCTGCATTCTTTTTCTTCTTTACTCAAAATAAAGTTGTAAATCTCACATATTTTGATCTTAATATACACCTCAAAGAAGTCAAACATGATCAACTATTGAGATTTTCAAGATTTTCAAAAAATGTTCAAAGTTTTGACTCAATTTTTTTCCGTCCCAAAAACGGAAATATTTTTTATTTTTCCGTCCTACAATTTTTTTTTGCGTCACTTACATGTAAGGGACGCCGTTAATGCAAGCCCTGCATTGTAGTATTGACCGCAGGGGTTTCAATAAATATTTTTTCAACAGGCCTTTTGGCAATTTCAACAGGCTGAATTTTTTTCGACCATTCGCCGCTCGCATTCTCCTTCATATTTGGAGGTGTTCGGCTCAGTATATTGAAAATAGAAGGATATATATAGGGTGTCCCGATGTAAAATCATAAAATCAGTATTTTCCTGCCACTTAAATGCAAACTGTATATGAGCAATTGATCTATCTGACTTGTTAATTTCTTTATGTGTTTTTCAATGTTGCCCCTTGTTCCTCCTCACTCTGATGTAAATAATAACTCAATATTCCTTTCTGACACATTATTAATTTCAATGAAATATAAAGATCAACATTCAATAGTTTGAGCAGTTTTAGCAGTTTTGTTTGTTGCGTAATTGGGCCTTCTATAATCAGTAGCAAATGCTCGCAAAACATTTTCCAAAATATTTACTTCCATTTTCCTTGAAGACATGGTTGGGTGACACGTCATTAATGATTAAGTCACATGATCGATACAGTAACTAGTCACGTGATCAGACATGTGTCATGTGTCAGTCATGTGAGCTTTCAAAATGGACGATCTAAATTTCAAAGAATTCTTCTAAGATCAGTATCGATATGTTGTTGCCTTCATTGTCGTGTTTGGCTGCGTTCCACAATGTAACCTAGCAGGATGGATGACATAGAACAAACTGATAAGTAGACACATGGTTACATTTCATTATTTCGTTATTTTAACCATATGAACCAGTGACTAGAATTTCTGTTTAATCTTTAAATCATACTTCCCATTATCTGTGATTCAAGGGTGAAGGGGTGCAATGTCAACAGCAGCATGGATTGAGATCTTGCGAGATTTTAATTTTTCCAGAAATCAAACATGTCGGAAACAGAAATTCTACTTTTAAAAAGTAAGTGTAACAAGAAAATCAAGTGAAAATGACACTAGAAAAATACGAAGGCCATAATGCTATTTTGACAAAACTGATCCACTTTTTATGGAAATACCACAGAGAAAGACAATAAACAAACTACATTTTACTGCTTGTTTTCTGTTGGCTAGGTAACATGTTAATGACGTCACAAATTAAAATATAATAAACACTGTGATGTGTGACGTTTAGCTTTCTTGTCTGTTTAGTTGATAGGGCAATAAGTAACTGATGTCATCGTTTATGTTATATTACGTCATATCTTCATCACAAACACAACATATGACGTCGTGATCGTTGCTTTGATGATTTGCCATATAAGGTAATAATGGTGGACTTTTGGTCACGTGACTGGTCGACAGTCGGTCCATAGAACAAATGGCTCTGCCCACTTCGTGGGGGGCCTTCGTAAAAATAACCCCGTCTATTATGCCAACATTACCCCCATACGTCAACGTTACACCTGTTCACCATATTGTATGCGTTCAAGACCAGAAATGACCTTGGTACAAGATTTAAGGTGATGGTGGACGAAACCATTTTTTACTAGATATATTTAGACACACTGCTACCAGTAACCTACCTTGAGCTCTGAGAATAGCAGATTTGCCCCTTCCTGCGCCCCCACTCCGACCCTGGATCTTTTTGAACATTGGGGCATTTTTCAACATGTCTGGTAGGATAAGGAAACGAATTTTGCTGCCTCTAACGTACACATTTTCAAGTTGTGCGACTCTTCCATCTCTATAGGTGACTGTAATGCTGCTAAGTTGGCAGTTCATATTGTCTTCGGCTTCGATCAATTTTCCTCTGTACACTTCGCCGGTGTTGGTTTCAAGGGTCACAATATGGCCCTCAGCCTCGTGCAGAACTTTGATTGGAACTCCAATAGACATCTTGTTTGTTGTAGATTTAGCTTAGCACACAATTTATGCTTAGCAAGGAAAAATACGGCAGATGTTGACGGATGAAGTCAACAAAGTCCCCGTTCAATTTACGTTAAAATTTAAATATGGCGGATTTTCGTTACCGGAAGTTGATCAATACGGACTGAATGTTATTGTTTCTTTAATCAATGTTTTAGCATCAATTCCACTTCGTTTGGACTCCGGATAATATTTCATTGTAGAAATATTCTATATGTATTGCTTAGATTGATTGTGATTTAGCGCAAGAACTGAAGAACACAAATGTAAGTTTCTCAGTCAAAACTCTTCTGTACGGAGGAAAGAAGCTTGTTGCCAGGGAAGCTGGGAAACTACATTTTAAGTAAGTTAATATGCTAAATATGATGCTTTTGAATCAAACATATAGCCCTATATTATTTCTAAATTGTTCCTTATTTGTTTAACTTTGACATATCTTGCTAAACCTAAATAAAAGAAGGATTTTACGCGGGATATAGTCAATTTAAAATTAAATAAATCAATTAGCCTATCGCCCATGATGATGATGGCCTAGATTCAAATTGTAAATATCGTGAAAGTGTCGTCGGCAATCTTCGTCACTTTCCGTGATTGGTAAAATAAATTCCCGCGTAAATTACTGTGTTCATTGTACCTTCTGATTTAGAAGTAACAAGTCAGTTTTTCTTCCTACAATTTTCCTACAATTTTAAAGCAATTAGTCTCTATTTCAGATTTAGCAAATCCAAAAGAACTTGCATTATGCACTTCCTGGGTAGTGGCCTTCTTCCTGTTTGCGAGGAAATCTAACATAGTTCCTCCTTCTAAATACAGATATGACTGTAACAAACATCTCTCCAGGGGTGATTTTCTTATTCAAGATGAGGTGGTTTGGGTAAACCTTAAATGGAGCAAAACCAATCAATCGGGATCTAGAAAAGTCAGGATCCCTCTTTCTCGAATACCTCACAGTTCTATTTGCCCAGTTCGTCTTATCAAAGAATTATTCGGAAGGGTACCAGTTGAATTGGGTTCACCAGCTTTTACCTTTGCCCCTGGGGAGTTCATCACGGCCAACTCCTTTGTTTCTTCACTTAGGCTAAAACTTAAACTCTTGGGAGTCCATAGTGAACGTTACACAGGTCATAGTTTCCGCAGGGGTGGCGCCACCTTTGCCTTTAAAATTGGACTACCTGGAGAGTTCATTCAAAAGCAAGGTGATTGGGCTTCAGATGCTTACAAATTATATTTGGAGATCGATGAGGATCAGAGACAATACTTATCTGAGAGACTTGCTCAATTCATAGCCTGTAATCATTAAACTCATATGAGTTTCACTTTTATATTTTCAGGGGTTTAGCAAGCTTTCTACTAAGTATTGAACGCGTGAGAGAGGTAACAATATAGTTAAACGCTTTGTGTTCACATTTATGTGTTACCTTTTGTTTTGTTTCTTTATTTTTATTTTCATTGCGGGCGCTTTTGGGCCAGTTTGCAGTGTGGTCAATGATAATTGAAGAATTATTATGTTAGTTATAAATACAACAATTGCCCACACTGCAGATGCCGCCCGTAGGTGCCAAATCATTGAAATCTATAATTTATGTTTGGTTATTAATTATATGTTATTATACAAGATGTATCTAATCTCGAGTATTTATGTATCCGTGGTGTCCTGTCTCGTCTATTAATGATCTGTACTAGAATGTCCTGTGAGTAGTTTTACTAACTTAGCATTCCACACATAAATATTAATCTGTGTTGTCCTACGTTATTTGAGACATATTTATCCAGTGTAGAAATGTCTCATATCTTGATAGTATTCTAATTGGATTTAGAGGATCACCAATCTCGTGAAAGTGTCGTCGGCAATCTTCGTCACTTTCCGTGATTGGTAAAATAAATTCCCGCGTAAATTACTGTGTTCATTGTACCTTCTGATTTAGAAGTAACAAGTCAGTTTTTCTTCCCCCTCCCACCTCACCCTCCAATTAAGGATACTACCTTAGATATTCCTTTCGAGCTTATACAATTATTTTGTCACAGGTTTTTTGTTATTTTGTAATTTGTATGTTTATTTATTATCAGTGACGTATTATATCACTGATTTAATAAATCATCCTCAGGGCCAGTTTGCAGTGTGGTCAATGATAATTGAAGAATTATTATGTTAGTTATAAATACAACAATTGCCCACACTGCAGATGCCGCCCGTAGGTGCCAAATCATTGAAATCTATAATTTATGTTTGGTTATTAATTATATGTTATTATACAAGATGTATCTAATCTCGAGTATTTATGTATCCGTGGTGTCCTGTCTCGTCTATTAATGATCTGTACTAGAATGTCCTGTGAGTAGTTTTACTAACTTAGCATTCCACACATAAATATTAATCTGTGTTGTCCTACGTTATTTGAGACATATTTATCCAGTGTAGAAATGTCTCATATCTTGATAGTATTCTAATTGGATTTAGAGGATCACCAATCATGTAATGTAAACATTTTTCATCATATCTAAAATTTTGGTGAAGACTGAAGAGTCTTACTAGAATACATTGCGTGATGATATAAAAATGTTGTTTAAAATTCAAAACAGGTAATCACAGATTACTGGTTGAGTTTGGCAGGTACAAAATATTATGAGGCAAATAGGGCGAAGGGGTGTAACGTCGACACCGTTTTGGGGTAACTTCGACATGTGGGGTAACTTCGACACCTTGTTGTTTATTTGCTCTAATTTCCGATCTAGGGGGAAGCCATGTTTTTGTTCTCGCATGGATCGAGATCTCGCGAGATTTTAATTTTTCCAGAAATCAAACATGGCGGAAAACGGAAATTCTACTTCTAATACGTAAGTGTCGAAGTTACCCCGTCTATTATGTCGACATTACCCCACACGTCGACATTACACCCCTTCCTAGATGTACACAGTAGCCGGAGTTAGTCAAACCTTTCTGGCCGAGTTATCTACTTTAAGGACAGGGTGCATGTTGGGAAATTTTCTGCATTGCTCAATTGGGTAACATGTTATTTTTCAAACATGAATAACTCCTTCCCCACATTCGGTCTACATCTTCCAAGTTTGCACAAAGAACGCACTTCTGTGCCTAGAAAAGCCTTGTGAGAAGGTTTGTTTTGTAAAATGTATAAAAAATGAGAAAATTCAGTGAAAAAAATTTCTGAAAATTTTCTGATTTTTTTCACTGAATTTTCTTGTTTTTTATACACTTTATCAAAACATTCTTCTCACAAGTCTTTTCTAGGCACATAAGTGCACTCTTTGTGCAAAACTGGAAGATATAGACAATGAAGGGAAGGAGTGATTCTTGTTTGAAAAATAACATGTGACTCAATTGAGGAATGCAGAAAATTTCCCATCATGCACCCTGACCTTAAATGGGCTGTATTGGCGTTTTGTAGATTATTGATGTTTATGTACTCCCTGACGTAGATCCACGGCATTTTACTGACTGTTTTGGTTTTATTATGTCACCGCCACAAGTCTCCATTTTTTTGTGAACGGCGTTCGGTGATTGGTGTTCGACAGTTGGTGGTCAGCGTTCGGAGTCTGTAACAAAAGGCAGGTGGTGACATTGGATGGTAATGCCTTGTATTAGATTGCATTGCAGTAAGCCAAATAAGGGTTCTTGCCAAAACACTACTTTGAATATAATCATGCCCAGTGAACGGAAAATGGGATGGAGGGGGGGGGGAGTAGGCGATTTCCGCAAGAAGTTTCAACAAATCTGGAAGATTTAATTTTTAAAGAGAACGTTTACTATTGAATTGCTTAATGAATAGGCGCATGATATGGTAATGTATATTCCTTTCTAGGATTTGTTTGAACCGATACGCTCATAAGATATGAGAACTATTAAGGAAGGCGCAACGCCACCAACGTGCACAATTAAGTCAATGTTTTTGCCATAAATCAAGCAACAATGGACAACACGACCTGTAATGAAGAATACTTGTAATTAACGTTATCATGTCAAACTTAATGCCATTGCTGACTTTTCAAAATAAGTCTCCATACATGTACATTAAATAAAAATTAATCGAAAATAATTAAAATGGGACGAAGGGAGGGGGGATAGAGGGGGGAGTAATATGTTTATAAGACATAATAAGAGATGATACTTGACTTTATAATTCCAAATTTCCCAATTGTTTCACTTTTCAGAGATGTAACATCCAGTTTCTTACTGAGAATTACCAAGTTCATTTTTCAAATACAAGGATTCGTGTTTTGTTCCGCTTTATAGACATCTTACTCTCCCCCTCCGTCCCCTTCCCTCCCCCTCCGTCCAATTTTAACTATTTTCGATTATTGTTTGTACAACGTATGGAGACTTATTTTGTAAAGTCAGCAACGGCATTAATTTTGATATGATAACGTCAATTTCAAGTATCCATTACAGGTCGTGTAGACCATTTGACCATGTCAAACATTTGCAATGTGATTTGCGAGACTCAATCTACTAAATTAAAAGTGGTCACCATTTCAGCAATGATTGATTACTTCTAGTTTTTGTGTCTCCAGAAAAAGTCATGTCGATTGGCAGTTGGCGTTCGGAGTTCTTGTCTGTAACAATTTGCAATAACTTACAAGGTAGTGTCATTTTGTCATGTTCAGGTCTTGTTATTTTAATTTATTTCATCTCGTGTTTGAAAATTGTTTAATTCTAATTACTTATTACAACGTTATATTTCAATACCTGTATACTTCGGACTTTTTTTGACGCTGAAAACATTGAAATGATCATTCGTGTATATATTCTTTGAATCACATATTTATGAGTATACTAGTACTTTTCATGTATTTTAATTTTACACGTTCACATGAAAATACAAAGGCTATAACATGTATAACGAAAGTGCGAGACACACAGTAAATCTCAATATCTTGATGCAGTAAAAGTTTATGTTTTTCAGATCAAAATCAGAAAATGGATTCAAACAAGTACACTGGGAGTCCATTTTAGGAGACCATACAAGTTATTTGATAAAAAATGGAGAAATATCACAACATACCCCACATCAACACGGATGATGGTTTATCCTATTCAGATCCGCATGGTGCTTTGGACGAAACTGACTTTCACGAATACCGAAATGAAAGTGAACCTGGAACGCCCAAAAAGAGAGGGTCGTTTTCGTTTAAAGAGCAAGAGCTTGAGATCAAAAAAGAAGATGAAATCGAGCTGAGAAAGACAAATGACACAGATGGAATTTTAAATGACCTGAACAAAAGTTCGAATGAAAAACGAAATCTTGAAGTAGTTCCGGAATTACCCGAACGTAGCCCGAGTGGTTTTATGTATACATACAACACACACGATAGAACGTATACAAGAGAGTCCTCGGATCAAGGTGTTGGCTGTTACTGTAAAAAATCAAAAGTTGAGCCCTTGGAGAGTATAATGATGATGAATGAATTGTTTGAAGATGTATGGCCAGATAGAGATATATCAACCAACGAAGTGAGCGAATACACGAGCCGCATTGAACTTGCTTTTAAAATTGATGTGGCTGTCTACACAAAGGAAGTGCTGACTGTAAGCAGACTTGCATATCCAAACAGACTAGAGGCCCTTTACAAATTCATCTCAAACATAGACACGAATCTCTGTCTTGCAAACCAGCAATACTTGGGCCCATTAAGTGAAACAGCCCTGCACGTCGCCTTATTGTTTAATAATTCAATATGCGCAAAGTTTCTAATTGAAAATGGTACAAAGGCATTACTTATGCACGAGTATGGCTGTTCAGAATATCGAGGCACTACTGCATTACACCTGGCCGTAGTCAACGGAAATATTGACATAATTGACAGCATGATGAAAAGACTTGAGCCTAATGAACGGCTTGAACTACTGCATAAAAGAGCAACGGGGGATTTCTTTCGTGAGAAATTTGCCGCTAGTGAGTTACCACTTTCGTTGTCAGTTTGGACGGGTAGATTGGACATATTCCGAAAGTTGAGGAGTTATGGTGCTGAAGTTGACGAGTGTGAGGAATTTACAGGAAATAATATTATTCACAGCATTGTCAACTTTTCCAAATACGATCCTGTTTTAGCATGTAACATGTGTACTGAAGTACTTGAATGTGAATTACACCCATCATGGTGGCAGCGTGAGGATAAAACAAAAACCGACACAGTGAATAAACATTCAAAATCAGCCAAATCACACACAATTGAGATCAAACAAAAACTACTTGGGCAAAAGAATAAGGCCGGACTTACTCCACTTGCGTTAGCGGCAAAATCAGTATCTCCAGGAATATTCGACACCATCATAAACACAGAGGATGTCTATAGGTTTAGTCAGTGGAAGTATGGGCCTGCTAGTTATAACTACTATGATGTCACAGAAATTGATCCGTCTGTATGTAGCCCTGGGTCTCAATCCGTGTTAGAACTACTGGTCTATTCCCCGGGCATTACCACTGGAATCGAAATATTATCAATGAAACCAATTGAACAGCTGCTTGAGTTAAAGTGGAAACAGATGCGTATACATTTTTTGTGTTTCTCACTGCTCCATGCTATCACGATGTGTCTTTTATTTTGTTATACAGCATTCCGGCCATTGAGTAATGCAAACGTGACTACGACAGACGCTTTGAATGTAGCACAGACATACCTGGTTAGAGTAAAAGAGCCGATAGTGGAAACGTTTGACACACCCTCAGAGGCTCTTCTGTGGGTTTCTCAAATATGGGTATTTCTAGTTGCAATGGTTTACCTTGCTTTAGACTTAGTCGATTTAATGCGAACGCCATGGTTTGTTATAAGACCAATGGTCCTAATGATAGTTCTTGAACTGATGTTCTCTCTCTCCGCAATAATCTGGTTTGCATTCAAACTTGCGAACGTCAAGGAAGAAGACCTCGCTCTGTCTATTGCGAGTCTATCGGGTTGGACGGTGATGTTGTTCTTTTCAAGGGGAATGCAGATGTTTGGATTCTTTTCGGTTATGTTTCAGAAAATGTTCTTTGATGACTTGCCTCGTTTTGCAATCACTTTCGGGTTTGTGATGATCAGTTTTACCGCAGCCTTCTTCGTTATTTTTCAAGAAACAAGGGTGGACACACTTCCCCCAGAGTTAAAAACTATCCCAATCACCTTCCTGACATTGTTTCGTTTATTGACTGGGTTAGCGGATTTCGAATTTATCGCTGAATCACATTATCCGCCATATTGTACGATTCTCTATTTGCTTTTCATTCTCGTAGTCAACATAGTCCTTGTAAATATGTTAATTGCGTTGTTTAGCGACACCTATACTCGGATCGCGGAGAACTCCAATGTTTTGTGGAGGAAGCTACGCGGGGCGATTGTTTTAATGATGGAGAGGCGCATTAGATGGGCATACAAATGCCACTCTGGTCTAGTAAAAGCATTTGTTAATGAAAACGACAAAATAAAGCTGAAATGGTTTCTTCCAGTCGAGGATATAAACTTTGAAAAATTCCTAAAAAATCGTGATGGTAAATCTGTTGGTGCCCCGGCTCAGAATAAGAATCAATAACGGTTTTCTCAAAGATAGCAGAATGCTCAATACCAGTAGCCAGCTTTCGTCAAAATAGATCAAATGATTTTTTCATGATCAAGACGGTCAAATTTGCATTTTTGCCGAAGTTTGAACTTCAGATCTATAAAATGTGCAATTAATATATTCTATTTTTACAACTACATCTTTTACAACAAAGTGATATTCTAGAGTTTGCGAAATCTACATATGAAATTACATCTATATAGGTTTTAAATTTTTTTATCAATTTTTAAATTTCAATTTTCTTGAAAATGTGAGGTCGGGTATTTTCCCCATGAGAGACCAGTAACATAAAATCTAAAATTGTTTGTAGATGATATTTTCTTTTACTGGACATACTAGTAATGTACAGTTTTTGAAATTGATCCAGTAGTACAGCTACATGTACATGTAGATCTACTGAAAATTAGGGGAACCATTTTCTATATCTGCCATGGTCTGCCATATTCTGACCCGAATCGACAACCTTGTGGTGAAAAAGAGATCAAATTCATTTGTTATCACATTCATTGAATACTCAAGACAAAAAACAACTGAAGATTATATTGTATGTACTGATATTTAAAAATGTCTGACAACTACCAAAAAGAGATAAATACACCTTTACAATGTTAAATACTCAGACCCGAATAACAACTGAAGATCATACTTAATTTATGAACAGATATATTAAAATAACGAAAACGAGATAAAATGATTTTATCACCCTGAATACTCAAAGCAAATAACATGCAGAATATTTCTAATCAATACAACCAAAATGTGTTGAAATCTGATATTACGGAAATATATGCGTTCTGTAATGTCACAACTATATTTTATTCCCATCACACTACCCTACCCCCATACTGTAGCCTATATTTCTTTAAAATGGATACGGGCTACAGTGAAGTTGCAAAAGGAGGACGTTTGTTTGTTTCTATATTTCTGAAGGTATACTAGATTTTACATCTATTTTTTATATACATTACATTGTACTGTTGTATAGATTCATTGAACAGTTTGCATTGTATTATTGCCAAAAAAGCCCTATAGACAAAGATTTGTAACTTCAATATAGCCTGTATCCCTTTTAAAGAAATACAGGCTACAGTATGAGGTAAAGGTAGGGTCGTGTGCCCATATTAGCAATAAATCTATTCATTTTATTATCGATCACGCACCGTGTTTTTTAGGTTTTGGAGCTATAACCATGGACGTATATATAGGTACGTCCATGCTATAACCTAAAATTTAAAAATAAATTAATTGAATCACTGAAACGCCTGTCATATATATATATAGAAATGGTCATATATGTACATTGTTTCTTTATATTTTTAAATATATATATTTTTTAAATAAAATTTGCTAAAAACATAAAAAAATTGTTGTTGTTATGTTCAAACACTTCTCGAAAAAGGTAAAATGACGCTATGCTTCCTGTAGACACTGGATGGATACCTGAAAACATTCATAATACGATTCAAAAGGAAACCGACACAATCAAATGATTTATGACTAGACAGGAACTGATTAATAATCCCATATCTGGACTTTATTTAAATTATTTTAGACATTACAGGAAGAAGCAATTTACAACATTTTTCTATAAGCTTATACTAAGCGTATGAGGCCATTTTTATTTATCTTGGAACATTTTATCACATCGATAAATTTCGTCTATTTCTAGGAAGGAAAAGGATTTTCTATAAAGAAATATCAAGACATTTGCAATGTCAAAATAAATTACTCTCCAGCAAGAATTTAGTCGAAAGCCAGTCCTGATGAAGTACGAAATCGAAGATATTTAGAAGGCAAAACTCAACTCCAAGTTAAGTCAATCTAGTAAAACTCAACCCCAAGTCAAGTCAACCCAGAAAACTCAACCCCAAATCGATTAAATCCTTTAAAACTCAACCCCAAGTCAAGTCAACCCAGAAAAACTCAACCCAAAATCGATTAAATCCATTAAAACTCAACCCCAAGTCAAGTCAACCCAGAAAAACTCAGCCCAAAGTCAAGTCAAACCAGTAAAACTCAACCTCAAGTCAAGTCAACCCCAGTAACACTCAAGGCCGGCCCAAGTTAAGTCAATCTCAGTAAGACTCAACCCCAAGTCAAGTTAATCCAGTAAAACTCAACCCCAAATCGATTAAATCCATTAAAACTCAACCCCAAGTCAAGTTAATCCAGTAAAACTCAACCCAAAGTCAAGTTAATCCAGTAAAACCCAAAGCCAAGTCAACTCAGCCCTTTAAAACTCAACACTCAACCCCTTTTCATTTCTGCGATATTTGATTTCATTTTATGATGAGTAATTTAAGTTATCAATTTCTGAAAATCTAGCATTTTGAATGATACTTTGTTAAAATATCCAAGGAAATGATAAACATATAAGTGAGTTGCGAAATCTCTCTTATATTTGTTTTAATACATCTTTTGAATTCAAACACACCTACATGTATATAGAAATCAATCAAGAACTCAAGTTGCTCGAGTCCCAACAAGTAGATTCTTTGGGATAGAATCCATTTTCAATTGGAGTAAGAATAGTAGACATGACACTGGGCTTGCTTTTTTAAAACTTTTTGTTGGCTCTAATGTCCCAGTGTGCAATTATCAATTGCAAATGGTACCATACCCGGGGTACCATAATTGCATTATCCGAGTAACCCTAATCCGCGTCTTGCAGACCAGTAAGGTAAAACGAACACAATCGCTCACTGTCATCATGCATTCGCTCAAACTCTAATTCTTGATATATGAGTTCGTTTATAAGACCATTGGATTCAGTAAATTTAATTGAATAACGTTCAGTATACCACAAGTGGTACATATCATCTACTCCTTTCAACCAAAACCCATGAGCCTGTCCTTCTTTCGGATATGCGAACATTCTGGCCTCACTCATAGAAAACTGTAGAACTTCGGTATCACCATCGGTTCGATTCATTGTCATATTCATGCATCCGTATGCAGCACGCCCAAATACACCAGTATATTTTTCCAGCGGAAGCGTTGAAGCTACGTCCTCTGGGATAGCAGTAAACGTTGGAATATCCACTGGCTCTCCCCAGGGGGCAGGAAAGGCACACACCGTTGTTTGGTTCAAGTAGTTCGGCAAATCAAGAAGTATATCGAGAATGTATTCATGAACGATGGTTTCAACGGCCCATGATACTCGATCATATGGGCCATTTAAACCAGCGTAGATACCAATCTTTAAATCTGGGTGGTAAGTCATCAATGTGTCTGAGAAGTAACTTCCGGTATGCTGCACCAACTGAAATCCTGGAATTATTCATTCTATAAATCATATTTGAAATAGCAGAGTTATAACCTACAAGTTAAGTGAAATAACCTTTAACACTTTTGGAATTTTGAAAAAGTTCAGTGATTAAGTTGAAAATAACATATTCCACATTGATTTCTCAAAGGTCGTGTTATCCTTTTTAGCCTAATTTTGGTCATCAACATTTGATATTTTCAAACTCGATTTTCGACGCATCCCCCAAGTCACAGATTTCCTTGTTAAATCTGTAAATTGTCCATATGCAATAAAAATAGAATACAAAGATCCATTTTGGAGGAGATACAGTAAGTGCGATGTTTTGAAAAATGGGTTGACGTAAAATGTCCCAATCAATGTTCTTGGATTCATTATCAGGGGATCTTACTTGATGGAAACCCTATTGTTGAGAAATGAGAAATGTCGTATAGTATTTATATAATATTGTGGTGAGAAATGGCCGCATGAAAAATTATTGTATTTTATTTATGCGACATGCGTGCACTTATTCTTAGTGATTTTATGAGACAGTCAATTACCCTACTTATTACTCTAGCAACTCTAAAGGAAGATACTCACCTCTGTAATAACGATGCCATGATGCCAACCCGTAGGCATACGTATGACTTGTAAATGGAGCAGCTGGTCTCATAGAGTAACCATCGGCAACAGTGTATCCACCATATGGATTAGGGTAAAACATTTGCGGTGATAGGGCGTCTTCTATAAGATCTCTGTTTACGTGCTGGAATATAATCATTATCATTATGAATATGTATAATCCCGTGATTCTTGAAGTTCCCTCCCTTAGTAACACCAATCTGTATCTTCTAATAGTCATAATTGTGACTGACCAACCCCGAGATATATAGGGATGCTGTCCAATAATTGTCACACAATTTGTACCAATAATCTTACCAAATATTGTAGGGGTCACTAGGAGAACAAGGTTTGATGCAATAAACACGAAAAATAGGGTGTTGATACAGTCCGTTTTATGCTAAATATGAAAACATGCAGTCACCAGCAGAAAACCCTAAAACAGTATTGACCAGCAGTGAGTTAAGTCACACTGTAAAATATGTTTTTGCAATGTGTAAAAATAATTTAAAACCATGAGTGGATGGTTTTAGTCACGAAAGTTTTGAAGCAAGATTTTGAACGACGGCTTAAACCGTTAGGCTACTAGCGGATATGAAATAATATTGTTCAAAGGGTACCCTTCAGTCGGTGTAGAGCTGAGATTCCAAAAAATGAAAATGATATAAGGGTATTATGGTATCAACCGCCAAAAATCGATCCAATCAATGACTGATCGATCAATCTTTCAGACGCTATAGTTTGTCGTTAATGGTACGTTCACACCAACGGCGCTTTGATGGCGCTTTAAAGCGGCTTGTAAAGCGGCACCAAAGCGTAACAAAGCTTAATTAAAGCGTCGGGGTCGTAATAGGTCGTAGAAAAGCTCGGGAGTAAAGCGGGATATTCGGCAAGAGCGCTAAAAAATTTAAACTGTTTAAGCGTTCGCACCAACGGCGCTTTGATGGCGCTTTAAAGCGGATTGTAAAGCGGCACCAAAGCGTAACAAAGCTTGATTAAAGCGTCGGGATCGTAATAGGTCGTAGAAAAGTTCGGAGTAAAGCGGGATATTCGGCAAGAGCGCCAAAAAATGTTAAACTGTTTAAACATTTTGGGCGCTCTGTTACGAATTGATTGAAGCGCCGAGAGCGTATCAAAGCTTAACAAACCGTAACAAAGCTCAACAAAGCTTGACTCAAAGCGTAGGAAAGCTTAACACAGCTTGGTTCAAAGCGGGGACC